GTACTCCACCTCCATGGAGGCGTTACCGGGCGCTCCCTGGTAGAAACACTCCCGGCGGCCGGCGGGGAGCACGAAAGTGACCTCGGCGTCGGGGGGCGGCGAGGCGGCGGCCCGGGCCCAGAGCGCCAGCAGCCACAGCCAGCGCGCCGCCATCTTGGCCCCGCGGCGCCTTTAAGGCAGGCCCCGCCCCTCCCAGCGAGGCCCCCCCCGGGATGGGGGACAGGGTGGCCGCAGCGAATGCCTGAGGCGGGAAGTGCGCGGTGTGTGTGTGTGTGTAGCTTTCAGGCAACACCGTGGGCACCCCGCGAGCCGGGGTCCTGGAGGCCGGGGCGCTCCCTTCGCTCATTGGCTGCTCCCTGCCGGCGCCTGGCGTTCTGGCTTCTCATTGGTCGGTCTGGGACAAGGCCCGCCCCCTCCCCTCAGCAACGGGCTGAGGCCAGACGCTGAGGGGAGCCTGTCTCCCACAATGCACCGCGGGGGGGTGCCTGGGGCAACTTTGGGTGGTTTAAGTGCAAATTTAGGGGGTCCTGAGGCAGATTCTGGTGGTTAGGAGAAGATTTGGTGGGTCCTGGGGCAGATTATGGTGGTTAGGAGAAGATTTGGGGGGCCCTGGGGCAGATTTGAGGGGCCCTGAGGCAGATTTGAGAGGTTCTGGGGCAGATTTGAGAGGCCCTGAGGTAAATTTAGGGGATTAAGCCCAGATTTGGTGGGCCTTGGGGCACCTGTAGGTGGCCAGGGGCAGATACAGAGGGTCCTGGGGCAGATTTAGGTGGTTAGGAGGAGATTTGGTGGGTCCTGGGGCAGATCTGGGGTGCCCTGGGGCAGATTAGAGAGGTTCTGGGGCAGATTTGAGAGGTTCTCGGCCAGAATGGAGGGCCCTGGAGCAGATTGGAGGAGCTCTGAGGCAGATTTGGGAGGTCCCAAGGTAAATTTAGGGGATTAAGCCCAGATTTGGTGGGCCTTGGGGCACCTGTAGGAGGCCAGGGGCAGATACAGGGGGTCCTGGGGCAGATTAAGGTGGTTAGGAGGAGATTTGAGGGGCCCTGGGGCAGATTTGAGAGGTTCTGGGCCAGATTTGAGGGCCCTGAAGCAGATTTGAGGAGCTCTGAGGCAGATTTGGGAGGTCCTGAGGTAAATTTAAGGGATTAAGCACAGATTTGGTGGGCCTTGGGGCACCTGTAGGTGGCCAGGGGCAGATACAGAGGGTCCTGGGGCAGATTTAGGTGGTTAGGAGGAGATTTGGTGGGTCCTGGGGCAGATTTGAGAGGTTCTGGGCCAGATTTGAGGGCCCTGAAGCAGATTTGAGGAGCTCTGAGGCAGATTTGAGAGGTCCTGAGGTAACTTTAGGGGATTAAGCACAGATTTGGTGGGCCTTGGGGCACTTGTAGGTGGCTGGGGTGGATTTTCTTGGTTGGGGGTAGATTTGGGGGGGTCCTGGGGCAGATTTGCTTGGTTAGGGGTAGACTGGGGGGGGTCCTGGGGAGGATTGGAGGAGCCGTGGGGCCGATTGGTGACATCCCAGGGCAGATTTGGGTGCTATGGGGCAGATTTGGGTGCTATGGGGCAGATCTGGGAGGTCTTGGGGCAGTTTGAGTGAGGTAAATTTAAGGGATTAAGCACAGATTTGGTGGGCCTTGGGGCACCTGTAGGTGGCCAGGGGCAGATACAGGGGGTCCTGGGGCAGATTAAGGTGGTTAGGAGGAGATTTGAGGGGCCCTGGGGCAGATTTGAGAGGTTCTGGGCCAGATTTGAGGGCCCTGAAGCAGATTTGAGGAGCTCTGAGGCAGATTTGGGAGGTCCTGAGGTAAATTTAAGGGATTAAGCACAGATTTGGTGGGCCTTGGGGCACCTGTAGGTGGCCAGGGGCAGATACAGAGGGTCCTGGGGCAGATTTAGGTGGTTAGGAGGAGATTTGGTGGGTCCTGGGGCAGATTTGAGAGGTTCTGGGCCAGATTTGAGGGCCCTGAAGCAGATTTGAGGAGCTCTGAGGCAGATTTGAGAGGTCCTGAGGTAACTTTAGGGGATTAAGCACAGATTTGGTGGGCCTTGGGGCACTTGTAGGTGGCTGGGGTGGATTTTCTTGGTTGGGGGTAGATTTGGGGGGGTCCTGGGGCAGATTTGCTTGGTTAGGGGTAGACTGGGGGGGGTCCTGGGGAGGATTGGAGGAGCCGTGGGGCCGATTGGTGACATCCCAGGGCAGATTTGGGTGCTATGGGGCAGATTTGGGTGCTATGGGGCAGATCTGGGAGGTCTTGGGGCAGTTTGAGGGGCAGAGCGGGGGGCTCTGGGAGCGATGTCGGGGTCCTGGGGCTCGACTCCACCTTCCCCGGGGAAATTGGGGCACAACCTGACCTCTTGGCCCCGATTTCTTCGTGGTTTTGGGGCGGCCGCAGGAGGAAGTGAGTGTGGGGAGCGGGGGTGAGGGTCCCGGGGGGGTGTCAATCCGGAGTGACGCCTCGTTACGCCCCTTTACACCTCTTTATCGATGTTAATCGATATTAATTGGGGTGTGAGCCCCAGGAAATAAAGCCCTGTGTGAGAGGAGGGGGTTTTGTGAAGAGCAGAGCTTGCCTCACCCTGGTTATTGGGTGGAAAAAGCCCTATTTTGTGCAACAGTGTGTGTGTGGGGAAAAAAAAATAGCCCAAATCTGTACTCGGGGATTCTCTGTCATTTCCTTCCTGGGTGTTGAAATTTCATCTTGAGCAAAATCCTCTTTCTTCTTCTTTTCAGCCGAGAACTGAACTTTCTGGCGTCTCTGGGGTCCCTGATCCTTCAGGATGAAGATGATGATGATGATGAAGGTGGAGTTTTTCCTCCTCGTGGCAGGTGGGTTTTTCCTCTCTTTCCCCCCCCGAATTTGGGTGGGAATTGGGGGGAGATGGTGGGATCTATCTCCTGTCCCCTTCTCTCCAGGGGCCGTGGCAGCTCCCGGTCTCTCGCCGCCGCCGCCGCCGCTGGGGCTCCTCGTGTCTCTGGGGTCCCTGATCCTTCAGGATGCAGATGATGATGATGATGAAGGTGGAGTTTTTCCTCCTCGTTGTGGCAGGTGGGTTTTTCCTCTCTTTCCCCCCCCGAATTTGGGTGGGAATTGGGGGGAGATGGTGGGATCTATCTCCTGTCCCCTTCTCTCCAGGGGCCGTGGCAGCTCCCGGTCTCCCCCCGCCGCCGCCGCTGGGGCTCCTCTTCCAGGAGGAGGGGGGTCCCCCAAAAATCAGCTGCATCGCCCCCCTCAGCTACGCCGGCAGCACCTTCGAGCTCTTCCCGGTGGGCTCCGACCTCCCCACGCAGAGGATTTCGGCCCAACCGGGTCAACACCGGGGGGAATTCACCCTGGATGAAACCCCTCCGTCCTCCCGGTGTTACCGGTGCCGGTACCGGAGCTTTAACGGCAGCGCCTGGGAGGTGTCGGGGTTCAGCATGGAGATGGTGCTGGACGGTACGGCCACCGGTGGGGGTGGGGTGGGGG